TCAAACCAAGTAAGCCCAGTTCCCTCAGCCTCTCCTCATAAGTCATGTCCCCCAGCCCCCTCACCAATTTGTTGCCCTCCTCTGGACTCTCTCCAATTTGTCCACATCCTTTCTGTAGCAGGACACAGTACCCAAAACTAGACACAGTACTCCAGGTATGGCCTCACCAATGCTGAATAGAGGGGAAGAATCACTTCCCACGATCTGCTGGCAATGCTCCTACTAATTCAGCCCAGCATAATGTTAGCCTTCTTGGCAACAAGGGCATGCTGTTGGCTCATATTCAGCTTATTGTCCACTGTAACCCCCAGGTCCTTTTCTGCAGAGCTGCTGCTTAGCCAGGCGGTTCCCAGCCTGTACTGGTACATGGGATTGTTTTATCCTAAGTGCAGGACTTTGCGTTTGCCTTATTGAATTTATGAGATTTTTTTTTGGTCCAATCCTTCAATTTGTTGAGGTCTCTCTGAATCCTAGCCCTACCATCCAGCATATCTACTACTTCCCCTAGCTTGGTGGCATCTACACACTTCCTGAGGATTCACTCCATCCCTTCTTTCAGGTCTTTAATGAAGATATTGAATGAAACTGGCTCCAGGACTGACCCCTGGGCCACTCCACTTGATACTGTCTGCCAACTAGGTATCAAACCATTGATTACTACCCTTTGATCCTGGCAATCCAGCCAGTTTTCTAACCACCTTTGAGTCTGTTCATCCAACCCACACTTCCTTAGCTGGCTTACAAGGATGTTGTGGGAGACCATATCAAAAACCTTGCTAAAGTCATTGTATATCATGTCAACTGCTCTCCCCACATCCATAAAGCCAGTCTTCTCATGATAGAAGGCAATCAAGTTGGTCAGGCATGATTTGTTCTTGGTGAATCCATGGTGACTATTCATAATCACTTTCTTCTCCTCCAAGTGCTTAGAAATGGATTCCTTGAAGCCCTGCTCCATGATCTTTCCAGGGACTGAGAGGAGGCTGCACAGTCTGTAGTTCCCCAGATCCTCCTTTTTCCCCTTTTAAAGATGGGCACTATATTTACCCTTTTCCAATTATCTGGGACCACCAGTTTTCAAAGATAATGGCCAAGGGCTCTGCAGTCACATCAGCCAATTCCCTCAGCATTCTTGGGTGCATTGTTTCCAACCCCATTGATCTGTACACATTCAGTTTTTCTAAATGGTCCCTAACCTTCTTTTTGCCCTGTTTGCTGCTCACCTTCTCCCCAAACTGTGCTGCTAGGTCACCCTGCTTCTCCCTTGGTCTGGAGGTGCAGGATACAGGAACAGTGGCCTCCTGGAGCAGTTCCTTGTATCTGCTTTGGATGGGGGAAGTAAAGGGGTACACTGACACTGCATTTCTGAATGGTCCCATAGCATGGCTCACAACTGAGCTGTAATAAGTTACATCCCCCAGTAGTCCTGGGTGGTGTTGATAATCTGTATTTTACGGATAGTTAAATTACATCCCTCTGGGTTATAGATGTCATTTTCAAAGAACAGTAAAGGAGTCAGACAACCAGCTCATACTGAATTTCTATCAGATTTGGGTACCTGATACCCTGACTGGTTGCCAAAAGTGAAACAATCCTGGAATAGGAGGAGAGAGCCCTGACTCCCAGCTCCTCCCCTGCCCCAACTCTAACACTCCCTCTAACTATGACAAATAGGGTTTAAAGAGACCTAGGTTTCTTTACTCTTATACCAACGTAAGTCCTCAAAAGCCTCTTAGCTGGTTTAGGGCAGAACTCATGAAAGTGAGCCTGGAGGAACGGCTCATGAAATCACAATCCAAAGGTATCACTTTTTTCCTGCGGGGGGGAGACCCCACACATACAATGATTTAATATAAACAAATACAAAAACCTTTGCTACTACTCACAAGCCCTTTTCCATCCCCCATCAGGTAATCCTATTTGTCTTGCATTGGTTCCACAGAAAAAGAAGAAAACATCCTTGTTAATAGAGGAAATGATGTCAGCAAAGCTTTTTAGATAAAAGAATTATTAACATGCCATATAACGATGCATGAAAACATGGTGCTTTCCCCTCAATTGCTACTGAAGCATGGGCAGATACTGATCCATCTAAGCATTTCTCCCTTTTTCTACCACTGTATTATACACTATTATCAAAAGCCAACAGATCACATTGAGACAGGACAGGAGTAATAAAAATCACAACAAAACTGCTTTCAAACATGCATCACCACTTTTTAACTCCGAACCTCATGCCTACATTCAGCTTTCCCTTCATTTCCTTTTGCTTTCCTCAGACTGTTTACACAGGTGACCTTTTACGTGGGACTATAGCTTTTACTAAAAAGGTGACTTTGCTCTGCTACATACAGCCTTTTAATCTATTTCAATTGCTGTAGAGATTGCAGAAAAGCACGTACAAAGCTCATGACCTGTGTGTCATGATGCAAGGGACAGGGAGCTGGGGAGTGCCATTTTCTAGAAAACACTATACTATACAAGAGAAATAAATCACACCGAGGAGCAACACTGGTAAGCTGGAAAGCTGGTAACCACTGCTGTGGATTATTGCATTTTCTTATTGAAAAATATTGCAAAGTGTCTAGAAGACTGTCTTGCTTCCCATATAAAATAACCTATTGGCAAATGCTCTTTATGAGTGACTGTTTAAAATCTGTCATTTTCCTCTTTTCCTAACAGATATTCTTGCTGTGGCTGCCACAGGTCACCAGGGATTTTATTTATGACTTGGAATGTTATCATGGCATCTATGAACCCTAATCACAGATCAGGACACCACCACTGTGCTAGGCCCCTTATAAACACAGACTAAGATGGTATTGTCTGCCTAAGGGGATATGGGAGAGGAAAGGGGGCATTGTCCATATTAACTCAGCAAAACATGCGTTCTGGTGACCAAAGACAATTGGCTAATGAGGTCTGCACATGCTGCGAATGTAATATATGCTGACTTAAATGGGGAATTAATTAAGTTGGTTCTTGGAAGAGAAGACTTGCATGTATCTCTATCCTTACATTTACATCAATGTCCATCCTTATGTTTTGTCAGTTCCTGTCAAATAGGCATGTCAGAGCTAAGAAGTCATAAACAAAGTTAGCGGGGATGGCTCAGTCTCAGGACTGACAGGCATGCTACATAAAGGGCATGTGTCAAAAAGTAACATAACCCTCCTCGGTAGACATTATTAACAAAGTAATGGAACAGCAAAATGTGTGCAGCAGTTCCTCGCTGGGTTATGTGTATGTATGCGTGTCTCGGTGTACGTGTCCAAGTATGTGTTGTCATGTGGGTGTGCATTAATGAAGCAAAAAAGTTGAGATCAGCTCCAAGGGACCTTTATTGTTCTATCTGACTGTTCTTAGAACAGGTGTTTGATCTCTCTATTTACTGTAAAGTAATCCATAAATACACTGCATTCTCAAAGAAAAGCATGACCTAGCCGTGGCAGAAATGCAGCCCTCCAGACTGGCATCTCATGTTACGCTTGCTTTGAACCAGCTTTGGAAAACACAGTTGTATTGCTGATCTGAAAATCAAACACTCATGGCAGTAGAAACTTTCCATACCAATGGCCAACACAGAGAGAATTCACTTATCTAAATTGTAAAAGGGGAATCTAGCATTCCAATAAATTATTTAATTTACATTTCAGTGTGCAGTTCTAGCTATTACAGTTGCGGAGATCCCTTTGTACAGAGAAGACCCTCTTCTAAATTCAGGAGACATGCTATTAACAAACTAGCATAAGGTTCATTGGTGCTTGGACCTTGTAACAGGTACAGGGATTGTGCATATATGTGCATAGATACAGATATGGCCTTGCCTCTGTTGGCTCCCTGCCCAGCAGGCAGTCACAGCTGCTATTCTTTGTCTGCCCTGAACAAAAGAACAACGTACTTCTAGAACATTCTAGGATGGTAGCCACCCCACAAATGGTAGAGGGCAGAGGTATAGTAAAGGTCCTTCCCATTCCATGAAGGCCAGACAGGCCGTGGAGATCAGGTGGACTCCCCTATGAAGCAGCATGGCAGACACAGCCCTGGGAGTCAGTGGGATGGCATGACTTCACCCACACCCCAGGGAGGCCATTGTTCACTGGGCATCTTCCATCCTCAATCAAAGGATTTTCAAGAGCACACAGAGCAATGTTAACTCTGCTCCTTATAAAACCAGCCTCAGTTTTACCATTACATTCGATGGGAACAGAGTCAGGCCAATGTTCAGCACCTTTGTAGTTCCACCTAAAGTGGACTATAGAATAAAACCACTGGATCAATGGTATAGTTCAGGGATGGTCAACCCATGGCACGAGTGCCACAAGTGGCACAGGCAGCCTGTGTGTTGTACATGGCAGCACAGGGAAAAGAAGACTGGACACACACCTTGCTGGGGTTATTTGACCCCAGCAGTCTTTCCTGCCCAGAGCAGGGGGGCTGGACCTGATGATCTTGCAATATCTCTTCCAGCCCTAAACTTCTGTGAATCTGTGAGACAGGCAGCACAGTGGCATGTAGAGTGGGGAGCAGAAAACTTAGCAACAGATTGGTTAGAGAGCAGAGAGCACAAAGCAGATCATCCAGGGAAAGGGGATCAGAGTGGCACTCTAGGAGGGTGCGGTGCTAATTCATGGCACACCTGCAAAAAAGGTTGGGCCCCACTGATCCAATCCATGTTGATCCTTCCCAAGCTGAAAAATATTGGGAAAAAACCTTTTTGCTTGTAACGTGCAATTCTTAAAATATGGCCTTGAACTAACCAACCTATAAAGTGAATATAATGCTTTCACATCAACCCAATGCAATAGGTAACTTCACTAATTGATTGCATGCTTTATTAACAAGAAACAGGATGAAGATAGAGGAATCTGAAAATGACCCAAGGATTCTTGTTGGCATGAAAATTCTCATCTCTACAGATCCAGAAAACCCCTATTGTTTCTCTGTGACTAACATCCTGTATGTCAGGGAAGTTTAACTACATGTCCATTTTACTGTACCTTGCTTCTTGGAGATGCCTTTGGTGCCTCCCTTTCCAGAGCTCTTGTCAGGTTGACAGGCAGGGACTGTGCACAATTGGCCTCCTACAAGATGATGTTACCCCCCAAAAAAGAGAGAGACAAAATAAAAACATTTAAAACTAAACAGGCACATACAAAAAAGTAGCTATGTTCTTTATCTTTTGATTAGATTTATAGATCCAAGAGGTAAGCATGTGAAAACAATTATCCCTATGTATTTTAGAGCTAAAATTTGCTACTTATACTAAAAAAAAAAGAAATCCAAAAATCTGTGGTAGAAAACCACTAGAAAAAATGATAGAAAAGGAGGAAGAGAAGTGTCTGATTCAATTGCAGTTGAAATACTCTATAACAGTGGTCTCCAACATTTTTAAGTAGGAGATCAATTTTGGCATTTAAAAGCAACCCAAGATCTACCATGCATTGGTGCCACCTACCCCCTGTCCCTCCCCCACCACCCAACAGGTCAGTCTGTGGGGAGAGAAGTGGGGGCAGATTGAGGCAAAGGGAGAAAAATTATTTGTGGGGCGCACCTCCCCAGCAGGTAAGTCCCACCTAGCCAGGGCCCCACTCAGCTTACCCCTGCTTCTGTCTCTGCAGCACTGTCCCTCACTGTGGGGTCCTCGATCTAGCCCCCGCCCCTTCCCTCCCCCACAGACTGACCTGCTGGGTTGGGGTGTGCATGTGCATGCATGTAGGCACTCAGCCCCCCACCCCAGCCTCAGATCGACTCCAAGAGGCTCTGAGATCTACCGCAAGAGGCTCCAAGATATACTGGCTGATCAAGATCCACTGGTTGGTGACCACTGCTCTATACCTTAAATACTTTATTGTACTCTCTCTTATAGAGAAGTTCTGTAAAAAAATACTGTACAACTATACTTTGGTTTACATTTTCTGTACATTTTCATGTCTTCAGAAATATTGTAGTTAGCAACACTGTATACCAGAGGTATCAAACATAAGGCCCAAGAAGCCAGTCCATCTGATGTACTGGACTACTGGCAGGCCACTGGAAGTTGGGCTGGGGCCAGGGCCTGCTACAGAATCCAGGCCCCTTGGTCCCCAGTGGCCATGGCAGTCTGTGGCAGGGGGCTGAGCAAAGGCTGACAGAGACACAGTCACTCTTTGGCCCCTTTGCCAGTCATTACTGCCACAGCCCTACCTCCCCAGCCACTGGCCCTAACTATGTAGCTTGTGTTAGAGCCAGAGCTGGAGCTGCTGGTGCTGCCACTGCCACGTGCTGCAGGTCAGAGCCAGAGCTGCCATTGCCGCCACTGCTTTTTCATGCTGCAGGCTGGATCTAGCCTGAAAGAAGCCCTGCAATCCAGATCTGGCCCGGGGTGTAAAGTGAGTTTGACACTCCTATTATAGACTATCAATTTAAGGTCTAATGAGCGTTTTCACTAACTCCAACATGAACATTATGATTGGGATCTACTTAAATTTTGGCAAGACAAAAAGCTTTTCATGACCCACTCACAGTGTGCAGAGCTGATTTTGTGGGCATTTCACAATAGCCCTACCACTTGGTGCTAACTGGTAAAGGGGCACCAGTGGGGAGGATTGGGGAGGGGTGTCTGCTATCTTGAATGCTGGCTGCTCTTCATGCAGCCCCACCTCTCAGCACTAATTGGCGGAGAAACCCCAGTGGGGGGAGAAGGGACAAGGGGGCAGCCGCCATCTTGTCTGCTGCCCTTGGTACTGCCCTGCCAGCTGGCCCCTTCCCTCCCAGCAGCAAGGACTGCTGGCTCCCACTGGGGAGTCAGCATTTTATTTTTATCAAGCTTTTTTTGTTGATTTTGCAGATTTCATGGAAAATTCTGGATTTTGCCATTTCTACAATATCTGTGAAACTACAAATTAAGTAGGTCCCTAATTATGATGTTTTAACATTACACACAAAGGAGATATTTAACATTGCTGAGTCAGGAGCATAGAAAAAGATTCCAGAATCATCCCAATAATTATAAGGGATCCTGGTTTTCTCTGATTAAAAAAAAATCCTCAATTTTTTGATTAAAAAAAGTAACCCAAAATCCACATTTTTTCATAAATAAAATGAAACACTACTAACGTATAGATAGAAATATAGTGGTGTTTCATTTTGAACATGGAAAAATGTGGATTTTGGGTTACTTTTTTAAATCTGAAAATTGGACATTTTGTAATCAGAGAAAACCATGATCCCTGGTAATTATTCTGAGACTTGTTTTCATTTGATGTTTCTCTCCCTTCCTGGTTGATGCAGAGATTAAACAGTATAACATTCCTTCCCCACTTGAGAGTCAAGAAGCTACTGTAACAGAAGGGTTCTGAGGCTTCTAAACTTTCCCCTACAAATCTCATGTTGCTCATTTCCTATGAGCTCTCATCTTAAATATCACTCTGTCTGAATCATTTTGTTCCTATTATAAATATGCCCATCTGCTCATTGGTGAACAACTGCTTTGTAAATCTCCACAGAGTGAGAGAGCATTAAAACTGAAAACCAAAGAGAGGTTCCTACAGGTGCTTTCCCTCTGCACTGCCTCTGCATCACTATTTCATCATATTTACTCAAATCCAAGATGAGGTTTTTCTTCCCCATGGGGAAAGAAGCTCTCATCTTGCATTTGAGTACAAGGTGGAGGAGGGGCATGCAGCTGCTGTGGCTATAACACTCCATTCCTGAGCTTGGAGCAATGCCAGGCAGAGCCACAGCAGCCACTTGCTCCCCCCTTGCCTGTCCCTGCAGCCTCTCCCCTCCCCCCCCCCCCCCCCCCCCCCCCCCCCCCCCCCCCCGCATCACCTGCAGCCCCTGCCTAGGCACATAGCAACAATGTCTGTGGAGAGCAGGCAGGGGGCAGGCAGTTCAGGTGACAGCAAAACAGGCACCATATGGGGGGCAGGGGCTGACAGGCATGGGGGGGAGGCAGCTTGCAGGAGGGAGAAGTTGTGGAGAGGCAGGGGGCAAAGATGCAGCCTTCCCCCTACCACTGCAATAGTGGCAGAATGAATGTAAGGTAACCCTCCAATAATTAGATTCTATACTTGGAAAATTATAGCATATTCATAATTTTTCCATAAACAGAATGTAAGGAATCTTAAATTTGAAGTCATTTTGGATTCAGGTAAATAGGGTACTTGAATCTGCTTGAAGCCTCTGAGTCTCTTTGATTCAGATAGAAGAGAACAGGTGTTGTCTGTCCATGTGATGATACAGAGTGAAATGAAAGCTCAGTCTACCCATCAAAGCAACTAAAAAGCCCTGAGAAGAGATTTTCAAAATGGAACTGTTCATACTGACTCAAAAGGAAGAAGAGTAAAGCCAACCTCAAGTCCTTCTGAAACATATTCCCAGCACCCTGCTAAAATGGAAAGTGGGAAACCCCTCAAGTTTTCCTATGGAAATTGGGAAAAAAATAAACTAACCATACATTGAAGGTCAAAAAATTGCCTAGATCCCCACAGGCTTACCAGGGGCATGACCCAAGTTCAGGACTAGAACTCCCAAGTTCTCCTCCTCCTCTTGAAGAACCATTCTCTTGCTTTTATTATATATATAATCTCTGGAAACTCAGCAGGGGAAGATTTGTTAATTGAAACCAGGATGTGGGTGATGTGGGCAACTTGACTACACATACTGTAGGTGAGTTTTGGGAAACTCTGTACACTATCAAAGAAATGGCCAGAGCCTCACATGTTAGGCTGCTTTAAGTAACTATGTGGTAAACTGATGAAGGAAGGAGGCATTTACTTAAAAAAAAAAGCTTCTGTGGACTGTTTTGGTCACAGCAAGCTTGGAGTAAAATGGATTTTACACATGGCTTCAGTGGGAGCAAGAGTTAGGCCAGCATTGAGTGCCCTTGAAAAATCCCATGTTCTACATTCTACCTCAGGACAGTAGGCATGATCCTGGAAGGGACCAAACACTGTGGCTTAATACAACTCAGCACTTAAGCACTTTAAAGCTTAAATATATGAGCAACCTCACTGAAGCCAATAGGACCACTCATAATCTTTAAGTATAGTCATACTTGCTTCTAAGGGCTTTCCTTGGCTGGGCACAGAGCATTCAACCTGCTCATAGAGCCTCAGTAGATTCCATTTGCAAACATGGCTGCATGTGACTGCTCACCTGCTCTTTTGAAGTCTAGTGGCAGATTCTTGTAACAGCAGAGGGCACAACAGTGTGCCAGCAGCACGAACACATCTGCTGGTACACCACTGTGATTTACAGTGCAGAGGACAAAAACCTGTTCTGACAGCTTATCCCAGCCCTCCCTTCCCATGTGAAGTGGAGTCATTTGTCTGAACACTGGAAATCAGGTAGAAAAAGTCTATTCCACATAAAACAAAAACCTTGTTTTGAAACTATCCCTTCTCCAAAAAGCTGGCAGGATGCCAGTTTTCATTTATCTTCAGAGTGTTAAATATGCTGAATAATCGTAATAAATAAGTAATTCCAAAACTATCATTTTAGATTAGTTTTGTACTTTGTATTTTATTACTGGGATCACTTGCTGTTTTGCTTCCTGGCAAGTGGAGTTGTCTGCTCTGTCACTTAAAGGAGCAGAAAAGAAACAATTTCTTATACAGGTTGGTAAATTCCTATTGTTTAACAAGCAGCTGCAGCAGGCCCTCATCTAACCAGATACTGTTGCAACCCTGCTTAGTCATTTTCCAGCTGACCTGGGTTTCCAGCTAGTCTGCACTTACCAATTCAAGGTGCTCTGCTGTGGGTGGTAGACTTCCAGAGGAAAAAAACTAGGTTTGGTGTGGCAGAGCCCCTTTGGTCCCTGCCACTTTATGGTGTGGCAGAGCACCTTTGGTACCTGCCACTTGAAGGGCTGAGAGCAGGCAGGAGGGCAGCCGGCAGGTGCAGGCCAGCCCTGATGAGGTGGTCACATGACTGCAAGAGTGCCATGTGATTGGAGGAGAGGGGTGAGTGGCCTCCATTTCAGCTCAGGCACCCAGGGCTGAGGTGGGAGCTGCTGCAAACAGCCAGAGAAAGGACATCACCCAGTAGGAGCTGCTTGGAACATCTTGGAGGTAAGGGCAGAAGCTGTGGGGGATGGCAG